TGCAGCCAAAATTTCAGATGGTGCATTAATTTTTTTTTTCATTTTAAGTTCAAAGCCCTTAAAACTTTTCGATGTTAACACAAAACATTTTCATACAATGACTGAAATTATTCAGTCTTAACCTTTTAAAAATAGCATATTGCATATTTGTAGCCAAAATAATGGCTAAAAGTATGAGTGCTGAAACTGAAAGTTCAAAATTTTTCCAACATTCAGGAAAGATAAGTTTGTCTAAAATCATTTAACCACGACCAAATTCAAACTTAAACTGCTTATTCCTAAGATGTATCTATATTATTTTCAAAGTGAAAGGGACATAACTCTGCCAAAAATCATCAAACCATGACCAAATTCCAACTTGACCTGTCCATTCCTTTGACATATCCATATGTCAAATTTTAGTTGAATATGTAACACTGTTGGGTAGATAATGAACAGAAATTGTAAATTTCATATTATTTTCAAAGTGAAAGGGGCATTACTCTGCCAAAAATAATTGAACCATGACCAAATTCAAACTTGGCCTGGGCATTTCAAAAACATATACATATGTCAAATTTGAGTTAAATGTGTTGTACCATTGGGGAGATAATAAACGGAAACTGAAAATTTCATATTATTTTCAAAGTAAAAGGCGCATAACTCTGCCAAAAATCATCGAACCATGACCAAATTCAAACTTGACCTGTATTTTCTAATGACATATCCATACGTCAAGTTTGAGTTAAATGTGTTGTACTGTTGGGGAGATAATGAAAGGAAACTGAAATTTCATATTATTTTCAAAGTAAAAGGGGCATAACTCTGCCAAAAATCACCGAATCATGACCAAATTCGAACTTGACCTGTATTTTCTCATGACATATCCATACGTCAAATTTGAGTTGTATGTGTGCAACCGTTCTAAAGATAATGAACGGAAACTGATGATGACAGAATGACGGAATGACAGAAGGACAGGACAGGGTAACACCATATGCCCTGGCCATTACATGGCGGGGGCATAAAAACAATGACCCCCGCCCCCTTTGGCAGGGCCAATTTTAACCCAACGGCTTTTAAGTGAACAAACTTGGTAGACAACCATAAAAAGATGTTTCCTGCTTAACAATCTAACCTTTAGCTCATTGGGATTTTTAAAAGAAGATTTTTTAAGTTTTTACTATACACATATAGTTAAAAACAATGACACCTCTGGGGCGGGGCCAGTTTTAACCCCAGGGCTTTTATTTGAACAAACTTTGTAGACACTTACTAGAAGATGTTTCATACTCAATATCTAAACTCTAGCTATTTGGGTTTTTTCAAAGAAGATTTTTAAGTTTTTGATATTATAGTAACATATAAGGAAAATCAATGACCCCCGGGACCGGGCCAATTTTGACCCCAGGGCTTTTATTTGAACAAACTTTGTAGACACTCACTAGAAGATGTTTCATGCTTAATATCTAAACTCTAACTATTTGGGTTTTTTCAAAGAAGACTTTTTAAGTTTTTGCTATACACATATAAGGAAAATCAATGACCTCCGGGGCAGGGCCAATTTTGACCCCAGGGCTTTTATTTGAACAAAATTTGTAGACACCCATTAGAACATGTCTCTTGCTAAATATCTTAGCTCTAGCTCTATATGTTCTTTAAAAGAAGATTTTTTAAGTTTTTACTATATGCATATAGGGAAAATCAATGACCCCCTGGGATGGGGCCAATTTTGACCCAGGCCTTTTATTTGAACAAACTTGGTAGACACTTATTAGAACATGTTTCATGCTTAATATCTTAGCTCTAGCTCTTTGGGTTCTTTAAAAGAATATTTTTTAAGTTTTTACTTTATGCATATAGGGAAAATCAATGACCCCCCGGGGCGGGGCCAATTTTGACCCCAGACCTTTTATTTGAACAAATTTGGTAGACACTTATTAGAAAATTTTTCATGCTAAATATCTTAGCTCTAGCTCTTTGGGTTCTTTAAAAGTAGATTTTTCAAGTTTTTACTATATGCATATAGGGAAAAATAATGACCCCCTGGGGTGGGGCCAATTTTGACCCCAGGGCTTTTATTTGAACAAACTTCGTAGACACTCACTAGAAGATGTTTCATGCCAAATATCTAAGCTCTAGCACTTTGGGTTTTTTAAAAGAAGATATTTAAAGTTTTTTCTTTCGGTTGCCATCATGCAACCAGAGTTCTGCATGGAAACAATTTTTAAAGGTGACCACCAAAGGAACATTCCTGTGAAGTTTGGATGAAATTGTCTTAGTGGTTTATGAGGAGATGTCATTTAAAGTAAAAGTTTACGGACGGATGGACGGACGCCGGATGGATGGACGGACGTACGCCGGACAAAAAGCGATCACAAAAGCTCACCCTGTAACTTTGTGACAGGTGAGCTAAAAATAGAAACGAGCAATTCTAAAAATAGTAACACACAATTCTATAAAAAGTAACACACAATTCTAAAAATAGTAACACACAATTTCTAAAAATAGAAACATGTAATTCTATAAACAGTAACACTCAATTCTAAAAATAGAAACACGCAATTCTAAAAATAGAAACACGCAATTCTACAAATAGAAACACGCAATTCTATGATGAGTAACACGTAATTCTATAAATAGTAACACTCAATCCTAAAAATAGAAACACATAATTCAAAAAATAGTAGCACGAAATTCTATAAAAAGTAACACGTAATTCTATAAATAGTAACACGCAATTCTAAAAATAGAAACACTCAATTCTTAAAATAGAAACACACAATTCTAAAAATAGAAACATGCAATTCTAAAAATAGAAACATGCAATTCTAAAAATAGAAACACGCAATTCTATAAATAGTAACATGCAATTCTATAAATAGTTACACGCAATTCTAAAAATAGAGAGCATAATTCTAAAAATAGAAACACGCAATTCTATAAATAGATACACATTGTTGTTGTTGTTGATGATGATGATGATGAATGATGATGATAGATAACTATATATATATATATATATATATATATATATATATATATATATATATACACACACACCAATAGACATATAATGATGGTCATTTAATGCACAAATCTGAGAAAATTCAGTAATTTAACCTTCAAGGTCAAGGTCTTTAAAGAGCCCAAGCCAATTTGGGTTGGATAAACAACAAGGTCTGGTCCTTAAAATGTTCTGTTATAATATGAAGTTGATCCCTTCAAGTTACAGTCAGTAACAGCCAAAACAATGAAAATTTCAATAATTTGACCTTCAAGGACAATGTCATTAATGAGTGAAGGTCAAGGTATGTCGTGTTATTTTTAAGAGTTATCCTTGAAGATTATTATGTTCAAGTTTGAAGACAATCCATTCAAAAATAACAAAGTTTCAGCCAATAATAGCCAAAAAAGTGAAAATTTCAATAATTTGACCTTCAAAGTCAAGGTCATTTATGAGTAATGGTCAAGGTCTGTCTAGTTATTTTTAAGGGATATCCTTGAAGATTATTATGTTCAAGTTTGAAGACAATCAATTCAAAAATAAAGTTACAGCCAATGACAGCACGATCAAGCAAAATTTGGACTTTTAACCTTGAAGGTCAAGGTCATTTATGGATGAAGGTCAAGGTTAGTGTGGTCTACTGAAAAGTTTTGTCCCAAGGGTTGTTGTGGACAAGTATGAAGACAATACACCAAGAAATTAAAAAAAGTTATGATCCAGGTACAAGTTTGCGGACGGCAATGGCAACGCGACTTTAGCAATACCTCTACTTTTTTTTCAAAAAAAAAGTCGAGCTAAAAATGATCAAAGACAATAACAAGGCAGAGTTAGGGTTCTTTTGCACTGCACTTCCACTCAATAAGATCTATCTACCTACAAAGTTTCATGTTGACATCTCTTATTATTTGAAAAAATGGTCAAGAAAAAGTTAGAAGTGTAAAAATTAACAAAGGGCAGTAACTCCAAAATTAGGCAAGACAGAGTTAAAGTTCTTGTGCACTGCATATCTACCCAATGAGATCTATCTACCTACAAAGTTTCATGTAGATACCTCTTGTTGTTTCAGAGTTATGGGCCGGACAAGAATAGCCAACAGACGGACATCCAACCGAATAGGGATAAAGGGCCATTTCTATTGTTATAATTTTCTTTTGTTTAATAGAGGGCCATGGACCATTATTCTATTGTTACTAATGCAGGGTTCGTACAGACATCCAATGCCAAAATTCAAGGACTTTTTAAGCACTACTTAAGCACGTTTTCCAATTTTTTCAAGCACATTTGTTGCACATATACCGACACAATCTTCAACCTATGATGGATAGTTTGTTCACCATTTTTTGTTAAATACACATTTTCTGACATTATAGAAGAACAACTAAGGGTGCATCAAGTACAGATTAGTTCAAAACAACTGCAATTTGTCCACTTACTGTTACCTTGAGTAAACATTTCATTGATTTTGATACTAAATTGGATCTTTTTTTTATATTTTTTTAACCGTTGATATTTATCAAAACTTTGTCATTCTGTGATTCAAACATTTTCAAGCACATTTTTAGAAAATTTAAGCACTTTTTAAGAGAGGAATCAAATCCAAGGGCTTTTAAGCACTTTTTTACATTTTTAAGCACTTTTTAAGAAAGAGACTGAAATTTAAGCACTTTTTAAGACTGTACGAACCCTGTAATGAATTCTATAGTTCTCTTTTGTTCTGTTTACAGTTAGATGGGCCCCTATCCCTATTCGGTAGTGCAGACGGACGGACAGACGGAAACCCTCAAAGTTTGGTACTTACTAGGCTATACTGAATGAATAGCAATTAAGAAAATTTACTGATACCTATTGTTCCCATAGCCACCTAAGTGTCTATATGTTTGTAGAGACAGACAGATGGCAAAGGCAAAAACAATATGTCTCCCATACATTTTATGAGACATAATTATATGTAGGGAAAAATCTGGTACACAAATGCAACTTTTATGGCTAAAGGAAAAAGTATTATCTTTCCTACCTGTTTAGCAACATTTGGCTGTTGCAAATCACTCCTAAAGATAAAGTCTTCAATTGCCTTTTTAACTGCTTTCACATCTTTCACTTGCTCACCAACTAATTTGATCCTTATAGAACTTTGTGGTCTTGACTGTGTTTCTTTTCTCCATTCTCTGGGAGCTAATACAACAAGACAAGGTAAATGTGAAAGCATGCACAACTCCTTGAAGAAACTATTCAAAAGATATAATTCTTCGAATCTTTTATCTATTTCTAGTTCAATTCTAATAAAATATTGGCATGTTGTTCTGCTTTTAAACTTATTGTAGTTTAATTGAACAAGAGGGCCAAGATGGCCCTAGATCGCTAACCTGACCAATCAAACTCATCAGAGCAATTACTTAGGGAAGTATCCTGAACAAGTTTGATGACAATTGCATCAAAATAGTGACCACTAAAGTGTTAACAAGGTTTTTCCATATTTGGGGTTGTGACCTTGTTTTTTATTCAAGATGACCCATATTCGAACTTGACCTAGAAATCATCAAAACAAACTTTCAGACCAATTTCCAGGATATTTGGATAACAACAGTAGTCGCGAGAGTTAACAAGATTTTTCTATTTTTAGCTTCTGTGACCTAGTTTTTCATCACAGATTACCCATGTTTGAACTCATTTGAGCAATTAACTAAACAAGTATCCTGAGCAAGTTTGTTGACAATTGAGTCAAAAAAGTGACCACCTGAGAGTGTTAACAAGCAACAAGCAAATTTGTTGAATTTATATCCCCCGCCGAGTACTGGTTATTATTAACACAACAACTAAAGACATAAGGCTTTATTTATATATTAATCATGGCATAAACAGTAATATTCTTTGAACTTGATAAATATTCAAGGCTATAACAGAGCCATAACTTTGTGTTAAATAGTAAAATCTGGAAATGCCAATGAGATGTATGCATACAACATAACTAATCAAAGGCCATAAATCTGAGTTATAAGTATCTGACTGGAACAAGGAGACAATATGCACATCTCCTCTTAGTATCCCATAAAGTTTCATTGAATTCCAGCCAGTAGTAGCAGAGAAGTAGCGAGGAAACAAATATTTTTCTATATGGATACTGGATAACTAATCAAGGGCCATAACTCTGAGTTAAAGTGTCTGACCAAAACAAGCCTACGATATGCTCATCTCCTCCTGGTATTAAAGGTTCCCATAAAGTTTCGTTGAATTCCAGCCAGTTGTTGCAGAGAAGTAGTGCGGAAACGATTTTTACTCTATATGCATACTTAACATAACTAATCAAGGGCCATAACTCTGAGTTAAAGGGTCTGACCCGAACAAGCCGACGATATGCGCATCTCCTCTTGATATTGATGATTCCCATAAAGTTTCGTTGAATTTCAGCCAGTAGTTGCAGAGAACTACTCCGGAAACAATTTTTACTCCATATGCATATTGCATAACTAATCAAGGGCAATAACTCTGAGTTAAAGTGTCTGAACCGAACAAGCCGACGATATGCGCATCTCCTCTTGGTATTGAAGGTTCCCATAAAGTTTCGTTGAATACCAGCCAGTAGTTGCAGAGCAGTAGCGCGGAAACGATTTTTACTCCATATGCATATTACATAAGTAATCAAGGCTATAACTCTGAGTTAAAGTGTCTGACCAGGACAAGCCGACGATATGCGCATCTCCTCTTGGTATTGATGATTCCCATAAAGTTTCGTTGAATTCCAGCCAGTAGTTGCAGAGAAGTAGTGCGGAAACAATTTTTACTCTATATGCATACTACGTATACATAACCCGTCCGTACATTTTCCATGAATTTCCATGAAAACTTCTGGAATTTTCATGGAAATTGCCAACTCTGGATAATTCATACTAGTTTTCCGGAGTTGTTCAAAGAAAACTGAAAAAAAAATCGCGAATTTTCTTGTACTTTCTCCATGTATTTCCAGAGCTTTTTTCATGAAACTTTTCCGGAGTTTTCCATGAAAATGTTCCAGAGTTTTCAAAGCAACTCTGGAAATTGGTCTGCTAAAATGACATAATACTCTGGAAAAAATGTTCCAGAGTTACTCTGGAAAATGTTCCGGAGTTACTCTGGAAAATGTTCTGGAGCCGCTCTGGAAAAAGTTCCGCAGTTAATAGGATCTGGAGTAAGATGCCATTTAGCCTTGAAATAATTATGGAATTACTATGGAATTCACTCTGGAACATTCTGGAATTACTATGGAACATTTTGGGATTACTGAAATGATGGTTGCATACTAAAATCAAATGACCTTTTAATTTGCATTTGTGTTTTTATTAACAAATCCAAAAAACACTCTAGTTGTCAAGAATTCAAACACTTATAGCAATTTGCACATTTCACAATTATTTCTATGTCAGAGTGTTTTATTCAAACAAATGTAATTTAACATCCATCTAGTACACATGTATATATCCTTCACTTCACTGTCTTCACATGATGCAACATCTTCTTGACTTGTGGTGTGACCTCTCCAATGGATACTGAAAAATATGAATTAATTGTACTTGTGTTATATGCACAATGTCAATATAATTAGTACTGTTTAAACATGATAATAAATGATAAAAAACATGAAAGGGTGAAAAAAGTTAAGATGGAAAACTTTCAATTAAATGATTTTTGCAGAATATCAGCACAGAGTTATCAAGTAAACACCATGGTTTGATGAAAATAATTTATTTTTGGTTAAAATCAACATTATGATGAACTTGTGTCAATTATTTCCCTGCTTTTCCTATATCTATATAATGACAACTGTATGACTTGTAATGGCAGTTTAAATTACTAAATCCTTCACAAGTACTTAATTACCTCTGAAAGTTTGAGGGTCAGTATAACAATAATATATGCATTAAACATGAAGAACAACATTTTGTTCAGAGTTTTGAAAATAGCATGCATTTATATGAAAGCATGTTACTTCAATTTTTTTTTTACAAAACAAACTAAATTATTACCAGGATAGTTCTGTTCAACAGTACATTTATCACTTTTCCCTCATCTGACATCCTTTGAGTTGAAACATCTCATGTGACTCCAAGACTTGAAAGTTTGCAACCTAATATGTTGAAAAAATAAACATATGTACATGAGTAACAAGAAATTACAATTAAGGCATATTATGAATTTTATTAAATGTTAATTTGGAAATTCATTGCTTGATATGGAATCTGTTTCAATCACCAATATTTTTAATGGAAAATAATTATCTCTGATTTAAAATTTCCCGCCATTATTTAAAAATGAAAAAGATTTTCTTAACTATCTATCTTATATTGAAAAGTTACATGTATGTAGAAATACAATCACTGAAACAGTGTATACTTGCAAAAAAGTTTGAAAAAACTAACATAATAAGTGTTAAAAAATAAAAATACATTTGTACTTACTGTTAGAAATGGTTATATACATGTAGTTCCCATTTTAACTGAATCATGAAATACACATGTTTAAAAGTTCATATTTCCAGAAAACTTTTGTAAATTTGTCCAGTTTAAACTCATTTGATCTAATTTCAAATGCTCAAACATAATATTTCAAGTTATAACTTTTAAGCAGTTAGGCACTTATAAACATTATCTTTCAATGCTTCTGTTCAAATGACCCCTCTGGAAGGAGTGTTCTGACCTGTGATTTGTTCTGCAAGGGTATTATACTTGAGAGCTACAGTGTAATATAGTATGTTGTAAACCTGCTTTACCTCTTACTATTCTCTTATATCAGATAGGTGAGTTTAACTTTGGTAGTTCTGAAACCAGTGGGTTCCACTTGAGGGGTCATAAATATTTACATTGTGGCTGATGCTGATTTGAATGTTCCAGAAATTAATCACTATGCATAAGTTACTTCTACACAGGATGAATATTTAAATTACATATACTTATAGAGATACATAATAAATTTATCATCAATTAATAAAGAAACATAAGTGCATAACAATTACATTTGTTCTTAAATTTAAATTGTTTCTCTTTAATTGTGTATTTATTTTTTTTAACTTAGGGAAATATATAATAATGAACCACTCAGATCAGGCTTGATATGAGATACCTTGAAAATAATGAGAGTTAAATGAAAAAATAACTTAATGCATTTTCAATGCCAAAGTGTTGCAATGGGGTTGCATGTTGTTGTTTTTTTTGTTTTTGTTGTTGTTTTTTTTTTTGCAATAAAAAGAAACAGTTAAGCTCTTGATGGGCTTATGACGGTCTCATTTTGTTTAACTATAAGTTTTTGTTTTGACAACTGCTACTTTTAATTAGAGATAGTATACATGTATGACCAATCTCAGTGCTAAGTAATTAAAGTCATTAAAAAATGTTCTTGCTGTTTTTTAAATATCTGGTCAACAGTTTACAATTGTGTCAATGCCAATTATTTTAAATTGTCTTTATTTTAATTATGTCTTAAAACCAGAAAACTGTATTATATTAAAAAGATCATTTATGCTTTTAACTTAGGAAAAAATATTAAAGTTAAATGTATTAAATGAAGTATACATAAATGCAGCAATCAAATGAAAATTTCCTAAGTCCTTTAAAACTTTCTCAAAAATGACTAAGTGTTTTCCAGAGTAAAACTCCTTGAAAATTGTCTAAGTGTTAACTTTCCAGAGTTTCCAGAAGTGTTTCATGGTTATTTCTTTGATGAAAAAGTCAAGTTCCAGAGTTCTCCATGAAATTGTTCCAGAGTACTCTGTAAATACTGTGGAAAAAAGCTTGTTTTCATGAAAATTCATGGAAATTCATGGAAAATCGGTTATTTTCCAGAGTTTTTCCAGAAAGACTGTGGAAAATCTACAGACGGGAACTAATCAAGGGCCATAACTCTGAGTTAAAGTGTCTGACCGGAACAAGCCGACGATATGCCCATCTCCTCTTGATATTGATGATTCCCATAAAGTTTCGTTGAATTCCAGCCATTAGTTGCAGAGAACTACTACAGAAACAAAATTCGGACGGACGGATGGACCGTGATGGAAGGACGGACGGACAACGCCAAAACTATATCCCCCTCCCGATTCCATCGGTGGGGGATAACAAGGCTTTTCCATATTTTGGGGGTGTGACCTTGTTTCTTACCCAAGGTGACCCATAATCGAACTTGACCTTGAAATCATCAAAACAAACTTT